GTCAAAAGAAATACAAGTTGAATATGGCTTCAAAACAATTCCCTGCATGTCATGATTAAAAGATGACAATCGATAAATGCACTCACCCTTAACGTTCAGGCAACTTTCAGCGAATAAATAAGAATGAGACCACATATCTACTTCTCCCTTTATGGCGGGCAAAAATAATATTTAATTCTAAATATAAAGTTATGAAGTCGCATTCCCAGCAGGGTTTTGCCGTGAGATAAATTGATCAACAGAAGAAGTCGACAGATCTTCAGTCACCCGTATTTTGGCACGATACGAAACAAAGGCCCGCTTCTTGATTTGATGAATCAATTAATCAAAGAACTGCTCTCTTCCGTTAAACGATGTTGAAGCAGGGAGCAGCATAAAATCCCTCTTGCGAGGATAAGAATTTTCCAGATCCCGGCTTATTGGAGATCATCCAAAGAAGCTGTGCATATGAAAGATTCTTCGAATCCTTCCTGGAAAGGAAAAATATGAGAGCCATTCGAAGTAAAGTGTCTTTGTTGCATTTCGTCCAAATAAAAGAGCGTTATTAAAAAAAGGAATTTCGTTGCAGTTTCGATTAGCGCATCGTGGCGTGAAGGAAACGCGCTGATTTCGAGGCAGGAAGTGAAGGCGTTATAAAAGGACAGGCGATTGAGCGAAGGCCTTTTCATGAGTTCCCAGCGTAGCGCCAATCAATGGAAATCGCTGCTGATTTCATGAAAAGCGGGTGTTTTCTCTCCCTCCTGCAGCCGTCGAGGAGGAGCAGGCCTGGAAATGGGGGGTTGCCGCCGCCACCGACGTCGTCACTTCGGCGTATTGCAGAGCGCGAATTGCCGATGACCCAGTGCGAATCCAGACGTTGTCCAGAACAGGTCTTCCACAGTGACGAGGGTTTCTCTTTATGACAATACAGCAACCCAAAATTTGGCTTCTGGCATTAAAATAAAATACGCGCACACCGCCCTTTCCGAAGCCTTATATATGATACAGTGGGTAGAACGACTTGATTAACAATAAAATCGACAGGAAAACACCTTTCACACGAGGAAATGTGACTCGGGATGACGATTTTTTTCGGGAGGATTTTTTCTGGTGTAATTCTCTCACGAAAATGCACAGATTTCCGAAAGTTATGATACATTGAAAAATCTGAAATGTGCCAAAAAGTAAAAAATCATAAATTTAAAGATCAAGAAAATCGTCAAATCATCAGAACAACAACGAATTCTTGTACCATTAAAAAAAATAATGCGGGGCCTCTCAAGTCCCAAAACATAAAAATGTAATCAATGTGTAAGAATAAAATCGTCAGGAAAACAAATTTCGCAAGGAAAAAAGTTATTCGCATGACGGTATTTTTTGCAAGATGTATTTTTTCTAGTGAAATCCACTCCACAAAAATGCACAGATTTCAAACATTTATTTGCACAAAAATCTGAAAAAATTCCAGGCACCGACAATAAGCGTAAAATATGTGTAGAAAAAACGGGGGATAATCAGAAAAAAATTCTTGGAACAATAGAAAAGGTAAATATGTGTCCGTGAAAAAAATGAAGTTGTGACGTTTTGATAGTTTCCCTCGGCAGGAAAAATCTGATTCAAAGATGAAACTAAATTCTGGCTGTGCCTCTTTGTGTGGGTCAAGTACGTTTTTGTTGTTGTTGAAGCAACTTCATTTCTCTTTCTTTTAACTTTAGCGGAAATTCTATTCCAAGTTTCTTTATGTTGGGTCCTACTTTATTATAATTTTTAATGAAAACATAAATACAATATTACTTGAAGCAAGATATGTAAAAATTTGCTGAGATAAATTTACAAGACAGTCTGCTGTGTAGTGTCATGGAGATCAATAGGGTTTCCAAAAGTTGAAGGTCTTCAATTCCAACATTGGATTCTTCGTAAAGGAGAAAAATTAAAAGTTTCTTATACATCTCCCTTTTTTCGCCAAAAAGCATGCGAGCAACGTACTTTTCCCAGAACTTTCTTCGTATATGCTTCGGTTATAACAAGTTCATGATTTGTGGTCAGTACTTTGACAATGTATGAAATTGTTCTTAGAGTGAACCCATACAGGGACATTTTCTGGTCAAGTTGTTTGACGAGATGTTTCAGCGATTTCCGCTTCAACAAGCAGTAACCAAGCCTACTCATCAAAAAATGAAACTTTCCAGATTCACTATCCTTCTTGACATGGTGAAAATTTGCAGATGCCGTGATGGGCAAACATATGCAGAGGAAGTCACGACGTCCGCGCATTCCGGCGCTGCTAAGGTAGGAAATCGAAAATAAATTTTCTGCGTCCAATTTGCACAATTTCGAAAGGCCTTAAACTTGAAATTTCTTGGAACGGAATTTTCAACTCCACGAGAGGTAGATGAATATTTTAGGCAGTGACTGCACATGTATTCCCTAAAACAGGAAGAGTCATGCTTGCAGATAACAAGTATTACTCAAATTTTGAGTAGTGGACGGATATTGAAACGACGTGTCTTCGATTCCAATCGTTATCATTCGGGTACATTTTCTAAGAAGTGGGAAGAACCGAGTTAAAAAGTATTTTAGTAAAATTCACATTTACCTCAAAAACGGATTTCTCCGCTAATCCAAAATAATTTAAGTTTACCCACGGTCACTGTTTCAACGACGACATGTTCTTTGCGAAAATACTGTACAATAATATCAAAATTCGCCGATAATTGAAGATTCACTCTATTAAATGAGGCAGCTTTTAAGGCTTTTTCATCCACTTTGAATTATTTTAAACTTTAATTAACTCTGCATTTGATTGATTATGCCAGGAGTTCACGTTGATTTCAGGAAACCATACGGCGCACTTCAATTCCATGCATTTTCTCCTTATAAGTGATGAGTTTTATCAAGAAATAGCGATTATGCACTTAGAAGACAAACCAGTAATGCGCCCTGATAATTTTTAAAATTTGTCTCAATCTCATCAGCGCAAAAACTATACATTAAAGTCAAAATGGCGGTTTCAAATCTTAAGAGCAGCAGAGCCTCTGTTATCCGAGAAAATGACAGGGTGCTTTTTCCAGTTAATATAATACTGCATGTTGGATAATTGCATGACCGGGTACAATTTTGGTGCAACAGATGAAATGAATATTCAACGATGGCCTGATCTAATAACCATTTCCCGAAAATCTGGGTTCAACTACGCCCAAGGGGTCAATCGGAAGGAAATTAGGTTCTCTTCATGTATTAGACAGTTTTGTTCCTTTGCTTTGATTCAATTCGATGCTTGGGTAAATATGATTAGTTTGATTGCACAGGCATAATTGAATTTATTCAGCATGTGTCAGGATTAGGAACTCGTATACAGTAGTTAAATGCCTCTAAACGACTTCTACCATCTGAAACGAATATCCAGATTCTCAAATTAGAAAGCAGGAAGAGAAACGTCTATAGCTGCCACGGAATAAATGGATTTTTGCTGTCTCGACTGCGGTCGACAAAAACTGCTCAATTTTAGTGCCGAAGACTCTCGCCCCTTTTCGCCAATCCGTTTTTCTTGGGTTCACTGGGTTCGATGAGGAACGCCACTTATCTCATTACGATCAAAAGCAAGTGGCCCGTGGCTGAACCCGCGGCGAGAAGTGTGCCCTTAGCATCTGGTGCTATAGTTAATCATAACCAACTTGTCCATTAAAAAAATCCTCAGAGGAAAAGCAGTGACCTCTATGATTTCTAAAAATGCTTCGTTGAGCTTCAGAATAAGTCTATTAACGGGATAATTTAACCAAATTTCCAATATTATTAGTGCCAAAAGAAGGCGAAGAGTGAGGGTGCCATGTTTCCAAGTCTTCTGCACCACAAGTTTAGTTTTTGCTCTCGAACACTGAAAAAGCTTGAGACTGTTATTTCAACGGATTAAAAGAATATCTCCACTCGTAAACCTGAAATAGATGCGTGAATTATTCTACGCAGGAACTGCTGTAGAGTAGAGATTTTTTTTCTTTTGGTTGTTATACATAATTACGTCTTCCTGATCGGCTAACTAATGGACCACTACAGAAGAATTAAATCAAGTTCGACGCAACATGAACCATGCAAAATAAATGTGTATCTCATGTGTGTCATTATGGCCCCTTTTATTTCTGAAAAGCGTTCAAGTCAAGTTCTTGTATGTAACCCAATTAATTCTAAGCGTTCAATTTCACTGAGATCTTTTTACTGCATGATATAAACATCTGGTTGGATGCACATTCCTATCTAAATATTGTAAATGTTTCGTAAAATACAGCGAGTTATGTAGAGAATTTTCACGAGGAAAGAAATCCCGAAAATGTAAAAACTGTTTTGCAGGAAACTTGGGGATGTAAAAAGTAATAAAGAATTAATGCAAAAATCATTTAATGAACACTTTTTCGCCACATTTTTCAAAAACATCCTGACTGTGCTGCAGAACCCTAGAGGAAACCTCATTTTGCGGGTTTAATTGGGATTTTTGCGCTGAGCACTTTGAGACCATCTCATCAAGAGCTCTCCGCTAAATTCATTAGTTACCGTTTATTTTGCATGGCTGATGGTGTGTCCAAGATTATTTTTAATTTTCTGCAGTGGTCACCAAGTTAGCTGGCCAGGAAGACAAGAATCGATTACACCCGAAAGAAAAAGCGTTTTAGTTCCTGCGCAGAAAATTTCATGCATCATTTTTCAGATTTAAATTTAATCTGCAAACTGCAGAAAAAAAACATTAAGCCGTCTCCTTGGCGTTGAATTCGGCGTAGCTCTTTATTTGCGCTGTCACTGCCGCCCATCGAAAATCTCTCAGCAATTACCGGAATCCCCACGTAATGCCTTCCAAACCATCATCGTCGATATTTTTCAAATTTTCCCTTCGAGTGTTTCGGTATCTGGGAAGGATGAGACCGGGAATTAGGCACTAATCTTATCTGCGTTTCGTCCGCTTTAGATAACTTTCGTCGGGTGTCGCAGCCGTCGTCGACCGGATATGTTTTTCCGCGAATTCCGCAGGCTCCGCGAGCGGCTGGCGGCGTAAACACACTTTGTTTATGCTGCTGGGCCTCTCATCCACAGAACGACAGTGTGTGCTGTGTTGAAGAAAGCTCATTGAAAGACTCCAACAAAAAAAACGAACCCACCCCTCCCCCTAACAAGCCTCTCCGAGAAGAATAAACCCCAGCACGAGCCCCGCATTCGGAAAAGGAAGTTCATCTTTTCCGTAGAAGCAAAAGACACCGAACTTCAAAGATTCCCGAAGTGTCCGCAGGAATTTCCTTCGAAAAAGGGAGAGGAAATCTGGGAAAACTGGGAAGTTCCCTGAGGATTTTCAAAAAGGTCTCAAAAATTCATTCTTGCACGAAAAAACAACCTGGAGTCATCAGCAAGTTCCACGGCACCAGGAATAAGGCTTCGAATGTCCAAAAATAAAAGAAGTGCTTGACAGAAAAAAGCTTTCTGTGACACGTCGACGAAAACAAAGGAAGCCGGCGCAAACACGTGTCAGCAAAAAAGAAAAAAGGAAGCCGTAAGTGTCGCCGTTTCCTAGGATTTGCAGAAGAGGCGCCCATCCCGAATTTTCCAGCGTGGAAGCATCCAAGCCTCTTCTTCCCATGTTCATGCCCAGAAGTGGCGTCAATAAAGTGTCAAAGCCAAGCATTTGAAAAAAGGTGATGCACTTCCCGACCCGAGAACTTGATTTCCACCAGAAATAGGAAATTTGTATCCTGCAGTGAAAGGATTGCACCCCGTTCCGAATGAAAGAGCCCTGAATGTCGTTTCTGATGCGATTCAGGGAAAACTTCTCCTGAGGTTCGCTTTTGAAAGTAGACCTGAAGAATCCCATCAAGGATTTCCAAGCTGCATAACCAGAAAAGCACCGCAAAACTCTCTGATTCTTCAGAGAGAAAAAAAAAAAACCTACTGCTTCGAGAAATATTCACAGCTCGAAAAAGCTCGGGAGAGTTTCGGGGCATTTTTCCCCATTCCACTGCCAAAAAATCAGCATTTTTTGAAAGCATTTAAAAATCATCATCTCGAAGAAAAGAAAACAGCTATGGAAAGAGGATGAAAATCGGAGCACGATGATGATGAGTGAGAATGCAACCGAAGTCCTGTACGGCAACGCCAGCAGCGAAAATGACACTCTGGACTGCGCAGATTTCAACAGCGGCGTTTCGGCGGCGTTTCAAGTCACCACTTACGTCATGTATTGCAGCGTGTTTGTGCTGGCTTTGGTCGGCAACGGCATCGTTTGCTACATCGTATGCAGCTCAGCTAGGATGCGCAGTGTTACCAACTACCTCATTGTCAACCTTGCAATCGGCGACATGCTAATGGCGAGTCTCTGCGTGCCATTTAGTTTCGTGAGCACGCTCTTACTCAGGCATTGGCCCTTTGGAGGGGCTCTCTGCAAGGCCATCAACTACTCACAGGTTAGAAAATTGTTTCAGTTGAACCCCTTCAACCTTCCTGCGTCAAAAATGGAAAATTCTTCGAACTTTCATACCCAAGAGCACTGAAATAAAAAGAACATGATCTGAGAACCAATGCTTTGGTTGGGAAAAAGCCCATTTTTTTCCTCTGTTGGCAGAAAATGTTTGCTGAAAAAATACATTTTTGCTGGATGGCGTTTCTTCCAGTATTCATATGCATAAGATTAGCATTCATAATTTCTGAAAACGTAAAGATTTAGGCTTCCCAGATTTTTCCTAACTTGGGCCTTCTCAACCCAGGTGCATTTTGGCGACATGCAGTCAAACTGATATGGGCCAGGGTGTGAGAAAATTCTGGTTTTTCCACAAGATGAAAAGAAGGCAGATGCCATCTGAGGGTCAAGTGTAACTTAAATGTGCCTGCACATTTTTTAATTATGGAGGTTTCACGTTAGGGAAAAAACATTTTGCTGGAGATAATGATGAAAATGCCAGGAAACTGAAATTGGTGATCTTCCGGGCTTTGAACTTCTGAATAAATGATTTAGCAAGCAGGATGGGACGCTGAACTTTGTGGCAATGGTGCATTAGTTAAATTATTCTCTCATTTCGTTTTGAAACGCATCAAGCCATATATTTACAGTAAATTGTTTTTCTCATTCCTGAGTACCCAGAATAATAACGCGAGAGCCTCCAGCAGAATTTTGTGTTTATAGCAGCTGTAGTGATATTTTTTTTAGTCAAGGAGGTTTATGACGCAATGATCTCGAGGGAATGGAGACAAGGTTTAAAAAAAATTGACCCTGGGAGGTTTTCGACTAACTCAAAGAGTTTTGAGTTAAAAAGGTTCGCTGTAGGCATATACTCGTACTGGAAAAATCATGGCCTCTCGAATTAAAATACTCACGAAGAGTCCATTTATTACACTCTTTTTTGTAAGATGTACTTTTTTGCATTTTGCTTCTTCGTAAATAAGTACGGGATTTCTGAACTAGTGGGTTGTGCACCAGAATAATTTTATTTGGCGATGCGTCTTATTTTTTTGCAGGTTAAAAAAAAATATTTTAAATGTGCAAAAGTTTGAATCAAGGCTGGATGTGGGTTCCTTATTATCTGGTGCTCCTTCAGTCACAAAAACTCACCAAACGGAATCAAAAGGCTAAAAAGAAGCAAATCAAAATTGAAAGATTATTGTCAACGATCAGTTTCAAACGTATTCCAAATTATGGTCAATATAATATGGCACACTGTTCTTCATACTTGCAAAATTGAGGCAGTTGATTCCGATGACGGACTATACTTTTAGAAGACGATTCCACGTGCCCGTAACTTGATAGAATTTTTTCATATATGCTTGAAACAGATCATGATGACGCGTGAATGAAAAAATCCTCCAACGTCCAGAAATGTTCAAAATTTATTTGGTTCACCGAAACAACCTGAAACTATAATCCTTTTAAAATTGCACTGCGCCAATAAATTGTCGGATCAAAATAGTCGACTCAATTTCCACGAGGAATATCGTCGGTCTACTCCGGCTATTATTTTTGCGTGGCATGAAACCCAGCAGCTCAAGTCGCGAAAAATTCAGTTCTTCGGAAAAATGCAGAGCACTTACGAGGATCCTCGCGGCATTATATTAAAGAACGAAAGGGGATTCCTTAGCTTCTTCACTGGAAAAACGGATGAAGGGTTTTGCTTTTCATTGGCATAGACGAAAACCAACGAGCGGGAAGAAGATTTTCCCGCTCGTGTGATGACAAGATTTTTTGTTGTTGTTCTATTTTCTTTTTTATTATCATTATTATTCATCAATGGCTATAGTGACGGAGGAAAGCTTTTTTCAGACCTCCACATGATCATGAGTGTGGTGAATCTTTTTATACTTTTTACCGAGGAAAGCTTTAAAACATGCAGAATGCAATTTAAAAATTTAAAAATTTTAAATTTCAATTAAGGACTACGGATGAATGACATTCAGTTCGAAAAAGGTTGTCAGAAGCAAATTCGATCATTCCCTCACGTGTTTTTTCTTCAACGCGCAAAGCTTTTCGTTGATTAACGCGCTGAGACTCGAAAGTCTTTCGACACTTAGATTGTTGGCACTTGGATGCTCCACTGCCCCAATTAATCAAGGAAGTAATTGTCGCAAATTAAAACAATTTCTCCACTCTAACCACCTATCAATCAATGAGAACAATTCCCCTGTGAAGGAATCACTTGATCTCTCAGAACATCCAGAAGAAAGAGAATGGGTTTTGCAAAGTGAATGCTTTAATTCAGCTTCATTCGTCCATAAAACAGAATAAGTCGCAACGCTGTAATGTGCAATAAGTCAAATAATTTGGGTAAATAATGACGAAGTATTGGCAATTAAAAAACGCCCTCCAAAGTGCCTTTCGATAAAAAAAACGTTAGCTTTGGATCCCAGTTACATGGTTCATCGGTTGAATTTTTTCAAAATTTTTGTTGGGCATGATAAAGAAGTGATTATAGATCACTCTCTTCTGCACCAAACTATTTCAACTTGGACTGCTGAGCAAAAGCTTTTTTCCGTTCCCTCTGATTTAAGCAAAACACACAAAATAAATCGAAAGATTTTAGACAAAGATGATTCAAGACATTATTAAGACATATTCCAAACTGAATAGAAGACGAGGATCAAATCAATGACGGAAAATGTGATTGTCAGGTTTAAAAACCAGTTCATATATTAGTTGACCGAAAGAGAATGAAAAGTAAAAATGAAATCCAAATTAAAGGAATGTAATTCTTGAGCAAATGCAAGATACTTCATCTCGTTTTTCAAGTGAAAAAAATGCTTCAAATTGTATTCTGGAGTTGTTCAGTGCCCGTTACACATGATGAACAGCAGCCAATGATTATGAGCCACGCCCAAATTTTTGAAAGTTAATGTAAAAAACCGAAGAATTTTCGAGAAGAAATACTGCCAATTATTCCCATAGAAGATTTATTGCATATTTGACACGTGCGCTGTCACAGAAATTGTAAGAGCGTGAAGATTATAAGCGGTTGGTCGAGAAAGCATTCAGTACTGAGGAAATAGCCTGAACAAATCTCAGGAAATCACGAGGAACAATTTTTTCTGGGTGCTTTCCCGATGATAGTACTATAGTGTTCTAATGCATTTTTACTCCACTTGATCTCGTCTACATGCCACACATTCGGATCCAGGGCTTTTAAAATTCTTTTCGAGAAATGCGCCACTATGAAAGATGGACTGGGATGAAAATTTACCTGTTCCTCGGTTCTAGAATGCCAATTACTGTATATGTAAAAAAAAATATTTCGACTTGAACAAAGGTCCATATGGGAGTTCGCAAGTCGCATTGAACAACTAAATGATCCCTTTTAAAGTAAAAGTCATGACAGTGATGAATCAATTTCACTGGCATCTATAGTCACTTGGTTTATGACGTGCTCGTATTTGTGTACCGACATCTATGACTGACTCAAATTGAGGTCCAATTAATTATTTGCGCATTTAAAAATTCGAAATACTGTACTTGTACAACCGTCAAAATCAAATTCAGGGATACTTTGAAGCTTTCCATTTGGAAGTTGATTTTTTTCTGTTCGCTGAGAACCAACAACAGTCATGGCTACTATAAGTACCACTGGTCTACTGCGGGCTGTTATCAAAAATCTCTCAGGCCAAAAATAAACTAAGATCATCCAAAGTTTGGTGTTTTTTGAAAAAAAAAAAAAAAAAAAAAAAGAGAGCTCATAATCTGAAGAATGTCGCCTTTTTTCACTTATTCCAGGCCGTGTCGGTGTTTGTGAGTTCATACACATTAGTGGCCATCAGTGCGGACCGCTACGTTGCCATCGTGTATCCATTGCGACCACGGATGACTTTCCTCCATGCCAAGGGCATCATTGCATGTGTATGGACTGTGGCGCTGCTGACGGCCCTGCCGATACCACTGGTGTCCGCCCTGGACCAGCCCGAGGAACTGCACCGCCGCTGTGGACTCTACATTTGCCAGGAATTGTGGCCCGGCCAAGAAGGGCCATGGCGTCTAGATGGCGACACGCAGAAGTACTACTACAGGTGATTCACTTACTTGTTTGACGATTCCAATAGCTGAATACTGTACCTTATTTATTCCCAGTACCTCTCACCCTTGAGAGAGACATGCATTCCAATTTTTCAGGATAACCTTTTGAAGAAGTCCTATCCCTATAAATAAGACGCAAACCCAAGTTTTTGATACTATGAATCTTTAGTGTACAGTATTTAGAAAATAAGAGCCACCAGATTTAAAATGTTAACATTAATTCGACCTGAATTCGACTAATTTTGAATTTATTTGATTTTAAACAAGTTTCTAACAAAATTTCCCATTGCATTCAAGTGTGAAACGCATAACTTCTGACTTTTTTTTAAATGCTATACCCCTATGACACGCACCCCTTTCTTTACTCAAAATTCATATTTTTATTTTTTGAATGAGTGCAGAGAATGATTTCTGCAGCGAAGAGCTGATGAAGAATCCACGCAAAACAGTCTGCAGTGAAGAGTTATGAAGATCCACCATCAGCTCTCCGAAAGTACTTGGAATGCTGTTCATAATTTGAAATACAGTACTAAACTGCAGTGAATAAGAAACGAAAAGAAGTGCTTATAATATTTCCTAACACAACTTCGGTTGGTTAAATTGACCGGCATTGAAAATTAAACTGGATGAAAGAATACGAACTGATCATCAGGACTGTTCATCGAAAGGTTGATTTGGCATTTTTAATTTGTGCTTTGAAGTACTATACAGTACTGGTTTTCAATGTACTCAGAGCCAGGGGGCAGTATGGATGCGATGCATCTCGATTTGACACGCATTTCACTTGTCCTTGACATTTTCCAACTTGATTTAGCGAATCTCGTGGGGCAAAAACTTGTTTGGCCCTTGTGCAGCACTGGGCTAGCGGAAGTTCATGAGATCGGAAAACTGGGCTCCATCTGTCGCCGTTGTTTATCCTTCATAAGCCGAGAGAAGAATATACAGGGATTTCACGGGAGTTGAAAGCAAATTTGAATATTTCAGGAAGTTATGATCCCATAGTTCTGAAATGTTCGTCACAAGAGGAAGGCGTCGAAAAAACCTACCACGCATGGAGCTTGAATATTTCAGCTCGTGCCACTAGACTGTAGTTACAGATCCTCATATTCCAATGATCATTATACAGTAATTCACTTTTATAATCAATTATTTTTTATTATTCTCTGAAATTCAGCGAATTTAAATTTACTACGACAATAATCCATGACTTTGGAAAGGTCTGTTAGAAGTCAGCTATGATCTCTTGGGGATTTCATGCCATTTTCCTAAAAATATTGAGTTACTCGGCGTCTTCAAGAAATATTGGCAGAAATATAAAAATATTATAATTTTTAAATTTGAAATTCTAAGATTTCTGAAAGAGTTGCCGTTACTTCATCGTTCAGTGTTTCGTTTTAGACTTGACCGTCTCGACCATTTATTATTATTTTTTTTACCATGGTGTAAGAACGTGATACAATTTCAGCAGTGTTCATTTTCGCGGTACTTCTGCCTTGTTTCAATTGACGAATGGCATTCAAATTTGTATCCATTGCAGCCCTCTTTCTATAGACTCAATTTACGACGACCTTCTCGAATTTTCCCCTGGGGCAGCAGGTACGCCATCAATACCGTAATAAATGCGAAGTATTGATTCAGGAAGACATCCGTGAAGAATCACTGTTGCAGCTCACGGACATCGATCCCTTTTCACCTAAAACGAATATAAGAGAAACCTTCACGGAAGAATGAGGCTTACTCTGATTTCTGCCTCAGTGGTCCATCGAGCAATTTCGGGTGTTTCCCCATTTTTTTTTTCGTTGCAGCATGGCGCTGATGGTCTTCCAGTACCTGATACCGTTGTTGGCACTCCTGCTGACTTACGCTCGCATCGCACTCGTCGTCTGGGGCGGTCGACCGCCGTCGGAGCTCCAAGGTGACGTCCGTGCTCAACGCATGGCGAGATCCAAGAAAAAGGTCGGTGTTTTTAAACCCGTGGAAAATGTACGTTGGCAAAGTTCCCCGCTGTGACGTTCTCTTGTAACCATCACTCATAAATTCGATTCACTTTTTCGCGTCTAAAAGCTTTCTCTTGATGCCGTATACAGCACATACAGCGGAGTTGCTCAATCAGTTTTCTTGGAGGATTCCTGTTTACACTGTACTGTATTCAATTACCGAAGCTCTTCCCGGTAAAATTGATTAGTGTGACGGAACGCTTTGAATCTACAGTATTTCATGTAAAAAGAAAACTATACTATTTTTAAATCACGTATTTCCTCGAGTACCACACGCACCTTTTTTTCTCAAAATTGGATGGAAGAAAGGGGGTGCCCGTCGTAGGTGGGTGTGGATTTTTCAAAAATTTTTAGACCTGAAGGTATGCATTATATTTCTATATTTGGACATTTTGGACCAATTTTAACGGAAAGAACTTTTTTCATGCAAACAATCGTTATAATTAGTTGATTCAGATTCAATTCATGCCTAAATCCAAATTCGGGTGATCGTACTTGTGAAATACAGTCTTATAATTTTAGACTTGCTAAAAATGGGATGCGTGTCTTACCCAGGCATACTATGAAATCAAAATTTTAGACTAATGTACACAAGTAAATACGGCTTACTGCGTACATATTTTAGCTAAAACAATGACTTTCCAAGGCGGATAGCCTGAATAAACCTTTCAAATGCGATGCAAAATCTCCCAACAATTTCTTTGTTCCTTGCTTCTTTTGTGGATTAAATTCGATTTTCTTACATTTTTGTTCAGCATCCGTGGAGCTCCTCAGTAGCTCAAAGTTAACTTATATTGTTCCGCGGAACACCGATTAGGAACATCTGATACACGATATATCCGAATATAAAAGCTATCAATTCTTGAGCATTTGTAATCTGAAGAAGGCGACAGTAATAAATCTTCGATTCGCCATATCGGCAACATAATCTTCAATTGAAACGCTGCCAAATTAAGACAGAGGCGGGATCAATGATTTTTTTCATTTACGCAAACACGATTGCTCCAAATTTATAATCTTGAAAAATACCGTACCATCGCTTGATGTTTGACTGAAAAAGTTGGATTTATGAAATATGATCAATAGAATCGGCGAGAGGACTGCGTTACTGCTGGAAAGTCTCTGGAGCATACAGTAGTCGAAAACTAAACTGACTAGAGTTTCTTTGATGGGCAGCCTAGACATCATCAAGTCAGAAGTTTGTCACTCCCCTTTCCTAAAACTCGAGGAACGGAAACCTTCTTAATCCGTGTAATCCAATGAATAGAATCCAGAGCCATACCAACTTTGTGACAAAAATAAATAAAATCACCCGGGTCCCTGGAGCTGAAATTGGCGGGCAGTGATGGATATACAACGTCATCTTTCCGATGATTAATAATCGGTTCACGCGAAACGAGCCGTCTATTTCGTGGCGGTGTTTCCTCAACCATGAAATGAACGGTGCATACCCCTTCCAAAGCGTATCGACAAGAAAGTAAAGCTATTTAGGAAGCATTGCGTTGCTAGTGACGACTGAACCCGATTTTTCGCTCATCTGAGGGGAACAAAAGGTTGTGATTCGATAGTTTTCCTACTGGTACCTGATGTGCGCCGGTGACCACGACTTTCTTGGTGGGAAAAGGCTTTCACTTCCACCGGAACCAGGGGTCCTTGTTTTACACCACACAGGAAATGCTTACACACGATGTAGCTATCAAGACGTATAATAAGAAAGTCCCGCTTTTTAAAAAATCCCAGAATGACAACCCGAAACACCTGGGAATCTTTGGGTAACTTTCGCTATAATGCTGCATTATAGTCTGAAATCTGAATGCATTCGCAGTGAGCCATACGAAATTTACCGACGCTGATTTATCTCGACCTCACTTGAAGGTACTGAAGATGGAGTAGTGTATCCGAAAATTTTCAAAATGTCATTCAATTCCACCAGCACGTAACAGAAACGAATCTTTGCATGTCTATACTCGGTTTTAAACCATTTCGAAGTGGGATTTTTTATGAGGAACCTGTTTAATCAGCTCGCTCTATTCCTCAGTTCCAGTGAAATAATCAAGGCGAAAAATACGAAGTATGAAACTCTTTTAATTATCCTGCTAGCAATGTTCTGAAATAGCTGAAATATCCCTAAATGCAACGACCTGTTCTAAAAACGTAGCTCAGAAATTAAATGCTAAAATTTGCGGAATAAGTTTATGATTCGAAATTTTTTTTTGCGCACAAGCGTGTTGAAATATGCGATTTAAATTTAATTTCGAAGGAAAATTCCGAGGATTTTTGACATGAGCATCGGCAATGTGTATGCTCTTGTTGCAGAATTGAATCGACGTCAGACAAAGAATCCCGCGAAAGATCGCGAATCGAGCTGTTTACTTTTCTTCCAACTGAGAGATATTTTCGATGATGTGATGCGTAATTAAGAACCCAGAAGTGCAGGCAGCATATAAAGCACCGTATTCCATTAACAAGCCTCATCTAATTTTCAGAACAGGAACGGAACAGAAACCAATTTCCGCCTCGAAGCGTGGCGCGCTAATGAAGTATCGCATCCATTATCTCCAAAACGTCAAATTTCTAGACTTTCGCGGAACAAATCCGGCAAAAAACAAACATCACGAGTAAAAGAGGTTGAAGAATTCAGAACTACTTCGAATCTACGCGTGAATGAAGCCGCGCCTTATTCAGGAGCCCTGAAAAGACTCCGAATTCCAACTAAAATACGACAAAATCCTCTCGCTGATATGCAAAAAAAAAATAATTGCAGTATATATCAGTCATTCACAGAAGAACCTGCGTCATGCTATTCAATATCAGCGTCCGACTTGACATAACAATGCACATCATCAATTCCATAAATAAGTTAAAATTCACAGCCGAAATTCAAATTTTTCGTATTATCGTATCCACGTCGGGCTCTCGACCGCCCATAAATTTAAAGCAACAAAAATGCACTTAAGATAATACATGGGCATCTTTTAAATCCTCCAAAAGAAATGACTTTATTCCGTCGTGTCTCCAAATCTTCATTTTGCGTTTCGTCGAAAAACGAGTAATTATTTAAATCATTGATGGACGTCCGTTTCGGCGCCAAGAAGCGACATAAGAAAATGCCAATTTGCAAATCAAATGAGGAGTTTTTGACTCCAGCTACTCCAGAAAATGACAGAAGTTAATGTTTGTTTTTATTAAAAGAAAGGAGTCTGAAACCTTATGCTAATGCTAAAGGACTGGAAACTCTCGGTGCTACGCTTTCTAGACCCATACATTTTTCTGCTTCGCTTGCCATGACGAGAAAGCGGATCTCAGGCTGCCGAGGAAGGAATGAACAGAAGGAATTGCGTATGCATTTTCTTCTGTCGTTTGTTTTGTTCCTTTCTCCTTTCCCACCCTCCGAAAAGATGCAGTGATTATTGTTGTGATGAGTGGGTTCACGGGTCCCACATGAGGACACGGAGAACCCGAGGATGATCCGAACGGACATTAGAAGTGTGGATCCCATCAGCTGCGTGACCCGTCCAGTGGGGGAAACACGGCAGCATGAATTCTTACAACTTACTTTCCCGAATCGGGTCATTGTCTTGTCACTTTCCCTTTCTTCTTATACGTTTTAAAATCCGAATATTCTTTTTCCTTCTTTTCCTACTTTTAAGCACATTTGTTTTTTGTTGCTTGGGGCATGGGAATCCCATAAATTCCAGTACAAATGAGCAGTTCAGGGATTCAGGGAACCGTATATAAATCTTTACTCTGCATTTTTTGTCATTTAAGCTCTGAATGATTTTTTTTTTATCAATAAATAGATTTGATTTCTGTTGGAAAATGTGCTCTTTAGCTATTGTCAGTATATTGATACACATTACCTTCTCTTACCGTCCTGCTCTTTTTCCCTTGTAACTTTTCATTACCGTTCTTCTATGGCTCTTGGACATTTTAAGGGAATTTTTTTTTCGGATTAGTTGACGAGCCAGAAAATTCTGAAATTGTCTACAGTGTCTCGTCAATAGTCAAAGTTTTTGAGTTTTTAGAATCAACAGTATAAAAGTTATCATTTTCCGAAGATATTACATCATACTGCAGTTTTAGGCAAAAAGGGAATGAAAAAATGCCTCGTAGAGAAATTAACCTCATCACTTTTCTTTCGAGGGCTTTTCGGAGTTATATAGGGAAGGATTGTCCCAATGAAGCGTGGTTCTGAATTACTGTACTTGAAAAAAAATAAGCATGTCATTTTTTATGATTTTTTCGAAAATTGCACTCAGTTTGCTCGCCAGGATGATGAAGATCGAGAGGGGAAGAACCTGAAGGAAGCAGAAATTAGGGTTTCGTGCCGGATTTCCCTACAAATGCTTGTGATTTCATTTCTGCTCATTTTCATGGAAAAAGATTGTTAGAATGTCTACTATGGCAAAACATAATTCGTTGGATGTAGAATGCGCTCAAATGGAAACCCGTGTGTCTGTGACTCAGCCGTTCACACAACCTGGAAACAAATTAATGATAATTTTGGATACTGCATCGACCATTTCATGCATGCTAGCGGATCCTTCAAATAAATTCACAGACTTGTGTTTTAGCGGGAATCACTCCAGAATGTATTTATTGCAGCTCGGATTTCGCCACGTTTACTCAGGCCTAGTCGTAGCTTGAACGTATTTGAACAAACTAAATGGACCATGCCTAAAATACACAAGAAAACGTGATAACCAAGGTTTCTAGTGTATTAACCTCACCTTATCCCTAGCTGGAATTATCATCCATGTTCAATTTACAAAAGGATTACCATGATTCATGAAACCTCCTGTTTTATGTCGCAAAATTTCAGTTACATGCTGTTTTAAAGAAAAAAATGTTAAGCAAAAATCTTTAAAGATCACCAGAACAAAGTAATTTTCCAGACGATGAGTCAAGGTTTTAAATTTTCAAGTATTATTTGAATGGATTCTGAAACGAGAATCATTAGAAACATTCAATTAAATGATGTATTGAATACTTTATTACTCACCGACCGTGAATATAAAGAAAACATTATTGAATTCAGCGAAAACACTGCAATCCAGGGATCCATCTTATTAAATTTAACTCGATAATTCTGAAAGCTGTCGTCACACTATCTTTTTTAGCCGACGAATGCCAAAGTTTTCAGATTTAATCGATTTATTGGTTAATTAAATGTTTTTATATACGGTACGAAATTCGCTTCTATTTCAAATTAATGATCAGTACTAAAATGTACTTTCAAGCCAGACTTTCCACAATCATCACATCGTTCTTGACTCCATTAAGAACGAACACTATTTATAGCCAAGTTTTTTTAACAATAAAGAAATTTGCATTGAAAAATTATAGTCTCTTGTAATCCCATCATATATTCATATTACGCGAGATATAAATCAGTTGTAGTCGCAATATCATCATATTTTTCAGCTAGAAAAATTCAAATTTTTTACGCAGATGTGCAGAAGTTTAGAAATGCACTGGTATTCGTTGAGCAATTTCCGAAAAAAGGCCTGTTAAACTTCATCTAATTTTTTAAATGCTTATGTCAGATCAAAAACGATATTGCAGCTACGTAACAAAGAAAAAACTTTTCAGTGCTATCTTTTACTTATCTAACTCTTTACTAGACTGTGCTGTATTTTTTTAATACACCCCGACTCATCGAAAATCAGTTGAACGGGGTTCTATCCCGAAATGAACAAGAACCGGTTTAGATGTCATCAAGCACTGGAATTTGCCTCAAGGCAACGGTTGCCTCAACCTGGAACATATGCGTAAAAACAAACTTCCTGTACATCAAGTTCAAACTAGTCTAATCAAATTAAAAATTCATGTGTGGCTCGGCTTTTGTTCGTATTCGACCCTGTGCCACATTCATTAATTATGCATCGTGATTATTTCCAAGTTTTTCTGGCCTGCCTCGGTATGTCCTGATTGCAAGGTTCACGCGTATCTCATTATTATTCGATTTGTATCCGGAATTACATACAGTATTGTTTTTAAAATGATCTCAGTCCATTCAACCCCGAACCGTGACCCTCCTCACGATTTAATCGTCAATCTTACATCATCCTGTCCAACTTATCATCACGAAATTTTTCACGTCAATTCAAGGCATGGGACTTGAAGAAATTGTACGCAAGTCTCAGTTTCGCCGGGACAGATTTACAGAATTATTTTTTTCTTTAGCGCATCTTATACTGTACAACAAAAAATGTATACAGCAAAGTGTTTTAGGCCTATAATTTTTTTTTTGATAAATTTGTCAGATTTAAAAGTGATGTTCAAGTTTCTCACATTTCGATCTTCCGCGCGGAGTTGAATATACAGTAGTCTATATATTTAGGGTATACAGAATATTTTTCGGTTTATCCTTTTCAGCATCGTAACTACAGTGCGGTATTCAAATTTTACTTTGTGGAGAAATTACAGCTATCTTGTGCTGTGAAACCTTCGGACCACCAAGAAAACATGTGTTGAACGGCTGGAATATTATCCCGGCTTAGATTAAATTATGTGTTACATGCTCCATATTTGTTGGATATGTGACCAGAAAACACAGAAGGACATGGCAGGGCTTCTATATTTAATGTTTGCCTGAAAAGATTTTGATACAGTCGCAAATATTGATTTTGGTAAGAATTTTGAAATCCCAATATATGCGAATGATACGTCTGATTGATTTCATTCCAGAGACAAATTAACGCAGATTAATTGTCTTCCAGGTCATTAAGATGATGCTGATGGTCGTTTTGGTGTATACGCTGTGCTGGATTCCGCAACACACCCTCACGGTGAGTTTCCGAATTGTTCACATTTGCAAACTTTGCTCGATTTCGGAAAACATCGGCCATGAGGATGATTGGAGTTGTCCAGATAAAAAAATTACGTTTTCAAAACGAATTCCTCGCAAATAACTGACAGATTTTGGGAGACGCTCACGAAGCAATTTGGGCATACGACCAAATAGCATGGGTATGGTTCGCATGCCACTGGTTGTCCATGTCCCACACTTGCTACAACCCCATCATCTACTGCTGGATGAACGCCAAATTCCGCGCCGGGTTCCGGGCCGTGTTGGCGAGCCTGCCGTGCGCCGCTAGCTGCCCGAGCCGGGTCCTCGGGGACGCCCTCGACGCCGCCCACGGCGCCGAAGAAACCCACCGTCTCCGTCGCGGCACCACGAGAACCAACACTTACACGATGTACTCCGTGTTGCGAACCGGACCGCCGCCCATCCGCGCCAGGCAACGCGGAGAGTCCCTGCGACTGGCCACAGTCAACAACAACAACAACAACCCCGACAACCCACACCCTGCTACCCCCGAAGTCGCCACGACTGACGTCGACGGTCCGACGCATCGAGAAGCTGAGGTGCGACAAATGTGACGACCTTGTTTCCCCCCCCCCCCCAGGATTGAATCTATGATTTGATGCACGTTTGTTCTATGGTCATATGTTAAAGTACTTCGAGTCCATCACATACATACGTGGGAAGGTTCAAAAGTTTGGAGAAAATCATAAAAGGATTGACTATAGCCCTCTTTTTTCAACTATCCAAGTGGAATTTTGAGTAAATACAGATGAACCTCGAGTACTCGAACCTCCCTAATTCGAATACCTCCCTGTCAAATTTTTTTTTCAAGACCCTGCCTGAATATCATTGGAAAAAAATGAATAAAAACTAGAGACTTTCGCAGTAAAACCTCTGTAATCCGTATTTTCTTGAGTCCTTTTGGCTATTATCATATTGCTGCATGAAAACAATAAACAATACAAATTCAACATTTTTAGTTTTGAAAGTAAGTGAAGATTAATTGGGCAAATGAACCCTTGCCTTCAACGTCAGCATTCTGTCTGTCAGCTTCTTCAAGAAGTAATTTAAGGCCTAGAATATCATCAATTACAATTTATTCCAACTCTTCCTCCATCTTCTCAAAGAAAAACGCTTGTTTCTCTTAATCCCAACCACTCTAACCCGAATTTGTTTTGCTGCTGATCCCTTTAAGTTTGACGAAGAGGTTTGAGTGTAGATCCACTGAACAATAAAAAATAATTATTTTTCAACTTCAATGGAAGAGCATTCGAATTACTATGCATACAATTTTATTCACACCAGATTTTCCGGATCCGCGCCTTTACAAAACATTTTTTCTGTTTTTTTTTTTAATAAAAAAAGTCCAGATAACAATTTCAAGATCATGCTTGGCTTGACCGATGCAAAAGTTCGCATGAGGTCAATTCGTTGAAAAGATTCAGAAAAAAAATTTTCAGTGGTTGAGTATTCAAAAGATAAAGCATTCTCACCGCAAATATATCTCAAAACTTGATGACAAATGTGGGCAAATTTCATCAAAGGATTAACCTTGGGAATAATTAATCATTCCATGATTTGATTCAAGCTTGTGAACCTGTTTACGTATTTCAGTTCCCTGTCAGTTTCCGCAAAATTTCCAGGAATTTAAATTTCTTGGATAATGGTAGCCCCAGGTAGATCGATCAAGATAAGTGGATTTGATTGCAGGTTGATGAAATCTACAATGTCAGAAATATCGGCGAAAAATCTCGCGCTTGAAACGTGACAGCGAAAATTGTCATTTTTCCGTGCTTTTCATTCCGTTCATTAATTTGTTATGGTGATGTTGATTGGAGAAATTTTAGGTCTGAAATGCCTCGTGGAAACATTGGTAATTCACACACCTTCGACCTGAAAAATTTCAGAGGAGTTCCTTCTGAAAACGTTGCTGCTTCTGGCGCATCCTTTGCGACCTCTCAAACTTGAGTTTATGTGTGTTCGTGTTTACTGTATTCGGTGTGTAGCTGGTTTCTATAGTTGAAAAATAAGTCGACGAAAAAAAAGAAGATTGGCCAGAATGAGATAAAGAGAGAAAACCTGTTATGAAATGCTGAAAATTCTATGATTGGATTGAGCGGTGAAGCAATTGATTGAAAGTTTCGTCCCATCTGGTTTTTTTCATCGGCGCGTTAGTATTTCTTGACGAATTGGAAGATCACTGACGATCCTCTGGTTATTTTATTTTTGCAAATACAGTTGAACCTCAATAACTAGAACCTCCTTAAGTTGAATAACTCAAATTTTCACACTTTTTTCGAATCCCTGTCTGAATTCAATCTTGAAAATGTATCAATAAGCTCCCAGACTTGAAGACTTTCCTCCTCAAACCTCCATAACTCGAATTTTCTGGAGGTCTTTTGGCATTATTTTATTTACTCAGGAAAGAGCAAAGCGATGAAAATGTGACTGTTTTGTAAGGGAGTGAAAGACTTATCGGGCAAATGAACCCTTACCTCCAACCCCAAAATCAATCAAGAAGCAATTTGAGGCCTAGATTTCTAGAATTTCATCAATTAAAATTTCCTGTAATTATCCCCCCCCCCCCAACAAAAAGGTTTTTTTACTTCATAATTCAAGTTTTTCGCTGGTCCGTTGAAGTTCGACTTGAAGAGGTTCAACTTTATAAGATGACATCCATTTAAAACTCACCGTTCATCAGAGAAAAAGGGTTTAAATTTTCCACCGCCCCATGAGATGACTTTCTGTCCGCACATTCAAAATTTCTTAAATTTTCGGACGCACCTGGCTCTTTTCTGAGTCATATTTCATAAGAGCGCAGATAATGTCTCATAAAACGGAAGACATAACTTCGAGTAAAAGTGCATGGGTTTCAGCACAAGTACAGTGAGACCCCCACATGCGGACACCTCGACATGGGGACGATTATAGAGACATTTATTTTTCAATCAAAAATCAATAAAATGGCCCGTCATAGGGACACTGACTCGACATGAGGACATTGCATGATAAAATTGCCAATTAAAATTTTAGGAAAATTGACTTTTATTAAGCTTAATTGCAAGAAACAGATATTTCCAACCCTAAGATCTATGTAAGAAAAATTCTTTGGTACTTTTCCTATCACTTTCCCATCAATTCAGCTAGTTAAAAAAAATTACCTGTAGCACAGAGGAACTTCCTTCTCTTTTTGTGACTTGGATGTTATTTTTACAGATGCCAACAATTCAATGAACTGTACAGTGGTATACTATTCAACGCTCCAAATGTTATTTTTAGGTTAAAAAAATATTCACTGAATCAAATTCAAGGGACAAAAACCCTTTTTTCATGGAATTCTGAAGAAAATTTCTTCCATAGAAAATCAATTAAAAATTATATAATGAAGAAAATCAATTAAAAACTATATAATGTAAGTCTATGGGAAAACAAGACTTGACTTAGGGAGAATTCAACTTAGGAACACTCTTGATGCACCAATTATGTCCGCATCTGGGGGACTCAGTGTATATTGGGGAAATTCAGGCGCACAAATCCGTATTGGAGGTTACAGTCTCTCCTGACACTAGCCCAATATTTTCTCTCCTAAAAATGCTTTTATAGATTTTGATTGAGAACGACGTGACGTGCAGGAAGTTGCTGTGGACGAAGAGCTAGGAAGTTTAGTTTTCTTGTTTCTGTCGCTCGTTTCGCAATTGCTTCACTGCTCAGACTGATGAGTGCAGTAATTCTGACCCGCGCGCACGTAGCGAGAAAGTTACTTGGAAATGATAGGATCTGGCGACTTATGACTCGCATCCGGTGCCCGCGGACTGTGTTCAGTAAAGAGCAGAATGAGTGTCTCCGTCTCCGGAAGTTTTTCTTTTACCGTTGCTTTTTCCGTTTTTTTTTTCTTCGCTCGTTACCCACACTGCGACCAGGGATGATATGCGACGAAGACGACGACCAAAATGAAGTTGGATTCAGCTGACACGCGTGGAAAAGAAACACAGTCACCTTCTGACCAAGTGAAAAGAATAAATAATCGTGTTTCAAACATGCGATAATACGCTGGAACCGTGAACACCCCGCTGGTCGCAACATCAGAAGCTCGATGTCGACCCGAGAAAGGGATAGTTTCTACTACAACACTTCCTTATCGAGATTTGCGGCTCGAGTTCAATGGCAGGACGGGTTGTGTGTGTGTTGCGAAAGGACGCGACCAAAAACAGCGCGTGTCCAGAACAGCATGTACCTGAAGCAACAAAAAGCTATGCAAATGGGAAACACGACATCTTACACAAGCAGTATGTGTACTTTCACTAACTATATTGATGGTCGTCTCTGTTGGTTTGACTTATATTACCTGGTACAAATAATTTGACTCCTTATAGAGCAGCACTTTTTTAAATATCTGAATAAGCAAGGTAACACCGTTAGCTTGAGCACAAAAAATAAAATTAATCAAGCGCTTATGAATGCCCATAAATTTTGTGCAAAGCCTTACATTTTGGCACGTGATGATCTCGTTCGTTGGCATTAGTCAACAAATATGAGAGTAAGCCTAAATCTAAAAAATGGATGGACGATGTAATGGAAAAATGAGGGTATGATCTACTGCGATTACACATAAGTGAAGATCAACCCACCTCCACCTCCCCCCCCCCCCCCGCAAACAATTTGTGGATACCTAATTGAGACAGAATTCACGACTGATGGTAACATACTTTTTTCATCATAAAATGCACGCAGGAATGAATTATTATTATTTTTTATTCAGGGACCCACAATAATTTTGAAGAATAATCAATGTAAGCGAAGAGAAACACTTCAGCTCTTGACAGTTGAAGAATTGTATTGATTTCATTTATGCTTTACAATTTATTTCTGAAGATGACTTGTTTGGAAAAGCTTTTCAGGTGTTTAAACCAATAATTTTCTCACTTTTGATAGGACCGACTATACAGCAAACTTGGAGGCGGTCTTATTTTCAAAATAAATTATCATGGAAGATTCTCTTTACCAGGCCATCACCATGTCCTGCAAGTTCATTTTCATCTTTGGTTTGCATCTCAGGCTTCTAAACAGCATTTTCATTCATTTACCTTTCTTGAATGGCCAGCTGGGAAGTGGTACATCTGATAAGCACAGGTTGAGGACCTCAAAAAATTCTACGAAAAAAAAACTCATCATTATCTGACCTTGAGGATATAAATCCCAAAAACTTGGAATACCGAATCAACTGGAGCTCAAAATTTGTGCACCGGGAACAAGATGTACAAAATTTGTTTGGATCAGGAATGGAGTGGACCCAAAATTGATGTACCAACCCCTCCTGTACCATAAACGTATTGGTACCAAACTTGCTGTACCACGTTTACTGTCTCCCAATACGAAAGTTCTATATAATGTGTGAAGAATATTCATGGACCTACAAAAATGTTTTTAAAAACTCTGATTTTTCCACACGATCATTTCGAACTAGCTGTTTCGGGATGTGCTCATCTACTGCCCTGCCAAACTATCGCTTTGCTTACTTACACGTGCATTCTAAGAAACCTTCTTGTCACGAGCCCTTAATTTACAAGAGGACCTAGAAGCTTCGAGAAACATTCGACACATACACCGCCTAATCATCGCACCCATCAGAGAGCGGAGTTCATCGACCGTCGTCAGATAGGTGCTTCGTCAAGGAATATCCGCCAACACACGGCGGATTAATGATGAGAGAGAAAACAAGCAAGGGTGGGATAAGAGAACGAAGTCTTCGCTTTCCGTCTTACAACACGAACGCAAATGAATGCACTCCGTCAGTTTTTTTTTTTCTCTCCGAAAGCGGGGTTTTTCTTCAAAATCCGCACCAGTACACTCGTTCGCGCGCCGCGACGCAGTACATTCAACTGTGCCTCAAATTCGGCCAAGCGTCGTGCAAAATCATGCCAATGAAAGTAAATTATCCGCCGCGGCCACGCTTTTTGCACACATTCGGGAAAAGAAAATAATAAATCCGAACAAAAAAATCTTGCACTGGTCAAAAAGCCTGGGCAATATCGAAACTCTCCTCGGATGCGTTGCTGAAATAAAATACACCAGGAACGGAAGAAACGCGGGTCCTAGACGCGATTTTGTTGTTGCGGAAATTCTACAAGGTCCACGTCCGGAATAAAATTTGAAAGCATTCGAGAGGTTACCTTTTCGATGAAGCGATTTGATTCTTCGTCTAAAATATATGTTCATAATGTGCTGGTTCTCAGTACACAGAAATGATTCCTGTCGGTGGTACGAAACTTCAGATTGAATCTCCCGAGTTGACTTGTATTTTCCATTTTAATGTACCATCCCACGACCTCTTCCAAATTCAAGAATACAACGAGGTTTTTTATACAGAAGTAAATTGGTGGGTCATGGCATTAACTTTACGATTCCTTCACGTGAACCAAATAAAGTCGGTAGCTCGGATTCGAATGCAATATTCGTATCGGAGCGGAATTACTGTATCCTATCGAACCATGGAACGTCGAATCTTTAGAGCTGCGAACTCCCACGCAGTACATGTACTTCAGTACTGCGTACCATTTTCCATTCTCGAAATTAACTACTAAGTAAGAAAGTCCTCATTTCCAGGAAAAAAACCTCTCGGATTGTCAGACGAACGAATGAACGACTTTCGCAGTTTGCTTTCAGCACCACATCCGAAGCTGTTCAAACATGCTGCAAGGCATGTTCACGCCCCACACTTAACTCTACACGACGTACAACAACATCAAAAATGAGGTCAAACACTCCACGGATTCCTTTCGTCAGCGTAATTTGTTTCTTTCACAGAAAAAGTGCCGTTTTCTTCAATTCCTGAGGGGTCAACCCTCGAAAGACTGGTAACACTTCTCACGCTGCCACAAGTTGAATTCATTTTTGGGAGATTGTGAATTCACCCCTTATCGTCACGTGAAACCTATTCTTGTCAAAGAGCCATCAAACATGAAGTGCTTGCATGTTTCCTAACATCTGATTCGTTAAAAAAAACTTGTTTATCCATTGTAATTTTCTCCAGAACCAAGCCAGTAGAGAAAAGCAGTTGGGAAACCTGCTGTAAGAGCAATCGAGCAACTATAGGTGAAGCAAGCACCGACATAAATCTTGATGCTATGACAGTTTTTTTTAATAAAAAAAAAGAGAGAGGGAAATTACAGCTGATGAAATTTTTGCTTCGAGTGCAGTTTCGACAGAGAAAATTTCATGGGTAAATATGCTTCGGTCATCGACGCATTCAACATTCGATTCCTGAATTTCCCAGGCGCACGGTGACGCAAACTCATCGGAATCTTGAAAACATGAAAAACACGAACAGCCTTTTTTAATATCAAAGTGCGATTCCTGCAAAAATAAGCACGGGAAACGGGGGCAGAATGCTACTTCCAGCGAATCTTCACCCCGTGGCCCGTAAATCGTAAGCTATCGTACTTTTCCCCCGAACAGGAACTTCAATTGAGCTTCATATTACATCGCGAATTTCACCACGGTCTCACCCTCAAAACCCAGCAACCCAAGAGGAATTCGACGTGAAAAGAAAAAAAAATAACACGAATCAAGCCACAAATATTTCCCGCACGTTGAATTCGCAAGCGGGATAAGAAAAATCAGCAGAATAAAAGCATCCAAATCTCTTTATGATGATGACGGTGATGATGACGGTTGGGAATACTGGACACCAACATTGCTTCCTCGTGCTGTATGATCGCCTGTAAAAAAAATAAAAAATAAAAATAATTTCCAGAACCCAGTCAGTGAGTTAATTTAAAATTTAAATCATTGGAAAGTCCGTCAACGTTTTCTCTCCATTGAAATGACGAGAATGTGATGGTGGTCCACTGAAGCAAAACAATTTTAGAGCATGAACAACACTATCCAGCACAGGGTCTTAAAAGGCAATAAGTTCATTTAATCACCATTGATAGACACTGTATTTGCGAAAATACTCAATCAATGCGTGTTTATGACGTATTCGACTCTCAGACGCATCCAAATTTTCCTTTTTTACGTAACTGTTTTATACAGCATTAAAAAACTTTTTTCAAAATACCGCACGTCAGAAAAAAATTTTTTAGAGCCGAAAAAAAGCTACACCGTATCAAGAGTGATGATAGTCAATCAAACACAACGTATTGCGCTCAAAAACTGTAGACTCATGTGAATTTCTTTCGTATTACAGTTGAATAGCTTTATTCATGAGACAAAAAAAGCAAACATAACTGAATAAAGGAGCCATATTGATTCTCCCGTTAACGTCTTAAATTGCCGAGCTACACTAATTCAGTTCCCATACTTGAGCGAGCCAAACAAAATTTCTAGATTTGCAACTGCTTTTCTCGAAAAAAAACTGTACATCTGGTAGCAGAAAATGTTTGAAATTTTTTTATTTCTAGAAAAATGCTCAAAAAAGTGGAGAACTTGAGAAATTTTTAGGCTCATGTACTTTTAAAACATGCATTTGCATAAGTGCTTGGTTACATGTTCTATCCGAGAAATGAGCAAGTTCAGAGGGCAGTTTTCGATTCTTTTAAAAATAGTTTCGAATCTATGCTACATAGATGAGACCGAGGTGCGGCCTATGATCGAATATAAAGTATAGGCCGCGACCGGATTTTCCAAGGAATACATCAGCAGGAGTGTTATAGGTTAATTTAAGGGTACTTTCCTGTTATCTCAGTACCTCATTCCTAGACCGCACTACCATCCAGACAAATCTTTAGGATGAGTTCATAATCACGACGACCTACCAGTAACTGTGAATTTTATTTTTACACATTCTGCTGAAACTAATTTTGGGAGGCGGTTAGGTAAAGTTAGGTTAAATCTTTTAATTAACATAACCTGACCTAACCTAACTTTACCTAACCGCCTCCCAAAGTCAGTTTCAGCAGAAACCCAAAGAAAGCAGAAACTGATTTTGGGAGGCGGTTAGGTGAAGTTAGTTTAGGTCAGGTTAAATTGGTCAGAGGGAAAGTACAGAGATAACAGGATGTAGGTACTGAGATAACAGGAAATTTTCCAATTTAAGACCCACTCCTGCTTCAAACCTGGTTATGTTTTAAAATGGTAATGCAATATTTTGACGATTTTCATATTTTTAACAACTCATAAACAGCTACGCTGCATGCAAATCTGAAACGCCATCCATTCTATGATGTAAATGAACCTTTTTTAGGTCAAGGCATATACATTCAAAGAATTATACTAGCGAATAAAAATGATCAATAGGCTAATTCCAAGTGACCAACCTTGGAGTGTTCAGACGAGGAAACCAACCAATGTCTGGAACTAGGAAACCACCAGCCGCTGTCTGGGATGCATTGCCTTGGCGTCACCATCAGAGGCGCCACTGGCGTTGCCATCATTCGCTGACGGATGGGTACCATCGCCGGTTCGCGCCGCCCGAGCCAGGATAACCTCTCGGCTAACCGTTTTGAGGTCATAGGCTTGTCCGATGAATGCCATCGAGTCTATGAACATCTTGGTGAGGTTCACCGAGTAGTCTCCCAACTCTGACGTTTTGTAGTCCCACGGGAATACGTGATGATAGTTGTGCCACCCTTCGCCCAATGCAGCGTATGCCACCCTCACGTTTTCAGCTGCGTTGATGAACCTGTTATTCACGAAGTAAAGGCCAAAAAATGAGTCATTTAGTTCCATAATTTGTCCTGGCATATGTTTTGGCACTAAACAAAGGTTGCACTAAATCAAAGGTGTTCCATGTGTTCATTTAATGGTCTCTATTGTAGAAAAAATAAGCTTACAGGATTGTTGGGCTACTGAGTCTGCTCAATAAGAGAGGATGCCACAATGCATAAATCTAAGCTCAAATAAACTAGGCTTACACTGTATTTAAATATATTCAATAAGACAGAATATACCTTAGTTTGTTGTGCAGATTGTGCCCATAGCAAAAGAGCAAAGCTGTTTCTTGAAGTTGTGCTTTAGTTTTAATTTTATATCAGATATAAAAAATTGAATGAAGAAAAAACTTTTAACTGTGTATATTCAGAAATAGAATATTGAAAAGTATCCTGAGTTTTAATGTGCGCATGGGTCTGTGATTCCCATTAATGACTCGATGGTATCCCTAAAAAAAAGGCCTTCACATCTCTGATTTCAGCCCACTTTTCACTCAGGACAAGGGATTTTTTCGTGGCACGAAGTGAGTTGGAACTAAATCAGGTGGCACTGAATCGAGGGTTGACTGAATCAGGAAACTTTCCACTGCCATAAATTTCTCTCCGCATCAATGTCAAGACGTCAATAAATCCATAACGTTGATGATATCGTTACATGGACGCTGTTCGAACCAACACATAATTAAGAAAGCAAGCCAACACGAATGCTGCTTGAAACTTTTTTTTTCCTCAAGAATATCGCGGCAGATTCCACTGATGATTCAATTGGCTTAATTCTACATTTTTTCGCATTTTCTCTCGCATACAATTATTGGATCAGTGCGGAAGGCATAAACCTGCTAAGTACTAAATGGGTTCTGCACTTCCGCATCAGCTTTCTTTGGAGTCCGCAGTTGAATTACCATATTTTAATGAATTCCTGAGGATCTCTCGACGGCTCTAGGGAAACTGAGCACGGTATGTTTATATTTAAGACAACTGGGGATTCAAATGGTCACAAGATGCGAAAAACGGTCCCTGACTCAAATTAAAATTCTTTCGAACGATATTAAAAACGATTTTCAAATCATCGCATATGTAATATGAATTTCTGGGGGAACTCAATGATCTCTCTTAGTTGGAAAACAACACAGATTGCCGAATTATGTGACCAAGAACGCCTTATTTCTCTGAAATTCACAGAAATGGGATCGAATGGTTCTAATTGTGGTGTTAAAAAACATGAATGGATCCTTCGGGAAATTATCAGAAAATCTGCATCGCGAGTGACGACATTTTTTGACTACGTTAAATTCCCCGGTCTACGATAAACATCGAAATTTTTAAACAAAAGTAAATCATAAGCTATTCCGTATTTTTTTCAGTTGGGACTTAAAATCGAATTGAGAAACGCTTTGGAAACGTTTGTCGTTAAAAATAATTGTTTCGCACTTCAAATGGTGAAACGTCCTCGGAAACACGTTCTCCCATCCTTTCATCCGCGTTTTTTTTCTGAGGCCAAAATGTTCATCGGCACAAGGTGCATAAATCCCATGAGCTAAAATGAGAAATTGCGAAACGAGGAAAAATGAAAGACTTCCGGGATTATTGCCAGCAGCAGATTGAAAGAGCCTGCAACACGCTGAGTGTCTGAGAACATGCGGAAGGCGTAATCACTCAACGGGGAGAAGACTTTGCAAAACTTTAGAAAGTGCCAAAAGTGAAACGGGAAAAGGAATCTGGCGTGATTGCGAAATCCGAAACGTAGAACCGCGCAGAAAAATTGACTTGTCCGAATCATCTTTCGTTGCTTGTTTGCCCGAAAGTACGTTTGAGCCCAAACGACACATGATTGCAGTATAATGCAGTACTGGGTGGACGTCGATCATTCAAACGACCGCCCGTCAACGTTTCATTTTATGTTCTCTTTCTCCCAGGAAGTACGAGAACCAGTACCTGTTTTTAATTTTTCATGGACTGCGCTTTTGAGACAATTTATTACTTTTTCTTTTTTTTTAAATCCGACGCTGTTTAATCGATACTCGAATGACACTCGATCCTCTTTGTACAGGACCGCTGGCAGTTCAAGTATCCTTTTCAAAACAAATGGCGTTTCAGAATAAAAAGTGGTTTAGGTACTTTCTCTCAATATTTGCAGATTTAAGAAAGTTATGCGACGTGGTTCAGTACTCAAGATCAAGGTGATTTTGTGTATTCCAACCTTTTTAAGGCATGGCGGTGAATGTGTACCACCTGGACATGGGCATCAAGTACAGTACTAAAAACAATATGCCAAATGCAGCTTGAAAATATTGGTTGCGAAACTACAAGACTTCCAATTCTTAAACTTGGGTGACATCTTTATCTCAATCTCAATTGCAAAATATCTCATATAAAATGCACTTTATTTTCTTTCGCACCGTCAGTTATGTCAATGGTTGGTTCAACTTTTTGGGGCATCACCTTTAGAGCCTTCAACTATCTGTATGCCAAATAAATATGAATAAAAATGTACTCTCCCAAATCTTAAAGAAAAAGGATGAAGTGTTAGCTTCATAGAAATTATCCATGGAGATTCTTTCTAAATTGTTTAATCAACTAAAAACTATTCGGAAACAGCTGGCTGAACACCTTGTGCTTTAATTTGTGCTGAGTAATTGCCTTATACTGTGATGCCTTCTCTTTTAATAGTTACTGCATAGGGAATTATTTCTGATGCAGCGGAATGTGCTGAATGAATGCTTGGGGGAGCGTTTTGTGAACCTTGTTGATGTTGACAAACGGCAAAAAATCTTGTACATCAATCAATAGCTGCATGTGAATGAGTCAATGCACTACACTGAGATTACTCATGCTTTCATTAGAATTTTACCCCGACTATACTGTATTTGGAACACCCGTGGGAACTTCACGCGGATCACAGGGCTAGAAAACTTCATATACTGAATCTAGTTCAAACAAATCCATGGCCTATCCCCAGTGTCACGTAACTTATTGGTTTGCTTCTGGGAAAAAAAATCTCGAGCCAACTTGGACGCGGAGTGGTTTTATTCCACATTCACCAGAATCACTCCAGCGAATTTCGTCGCAACTCGAGTTTGAATTCCGTCACGCGCCGTTCTGGGAATATTTGGCAAACCAAAGCCTAGAAAAGTGAGTGTAGGACTTACTTGTCGAATGGCTTGTTGCCGTAGAGGTGTGCTGCGCTGTTGACGAGCCACGTGCAATGCAAAGAGAACACGTAGCGAAAAAACACACTGAACAGCATGGCAACAGCCACGTCCTCGCCCCAAAAGTAGACCGGGACCGCGGTCGGAAAAACGCCCCAGATCAACAGGATGAGTGGAATGTAGAACCTATCAAAGAAGGCAGTGGAGACATGACACTTATTAAATATCCGTTATGAAATAATAAACCAAATAGGGGAAGACCATTGGTGAAAGGTATTGCGTGAATGCCGCCGCAATTTACATAAAGCTCCCGCGCGAACAACTCGGACAGATCAGTACTAAACAACTTTTCCGATCATCATTCCATTCGTCGTACACAAAAAAATGGTGTCCATCTACATGCAGTACAGCGAAGAAAAAAAAGATCGTTCCAGCTTGCTGATTGCTAAACTAAGAAATTTTCTTCTGCTCCCGAATGAAATTCGGAATCTTCAGCACGAGAAAAAAACCCATTCCGCAGAAAACCAATATCAAGAGCACCGCAGATTGTTGCGACACCTGCCCGAGATCCTTCGAAGCTTTTCTGTAGAACGAGATTTTCTATGCCACTATGTAGCCAGAGCAGCAGAATTGGTTCTTCGTATACCGATTCATACTAAACTATGGGTCATAATCACCGGGGATAACTATTGATCATACTTTTAATTAGTCTTTTTTATGACAACATTCAAGCAATTTTTTCATTTCTCAAAACACGTGGGATGCAAATTTTCCATGGACGATCTAGCTGAAACACTATCAATGAAATGATAAAATCTGGATTGTGCGAATCTAAGGAGTAATATCTCAAGGAAAAGATGAAAGAAAAACTCACTTTCGTTGGTAATAAACACAGGGATCTTCGAGCAGGTCTTTCATGTCCAGCACTTTTCCCTTTTCCTTCACTTCTGGATGCTTTTTGCACATGAGCCAACCCATGTGTGCAAAAAAGAATCCTCGGCGAGCGTTGTGAGGGTCTGCGTCTGTTTCGCTGAACTTGTGATGCAATCGATGGTCTCGGCACCATTCATACAAGCTGTTCTGTTAACATACAAAAGACACACATACCATTCCAGTATTTCAGGCAGACAATGTCTTAAAATGAAATATTACTAGTGCCAGAAATCTTACGTTGTTATAGGTCGAGTTCGACCGAAATCGTTTTTCGTAAAACGACATGGCAATCAATTTTCTCCCTTTCCAAAAAAGAAGTAAGCTGCTTTCTGTTAACATATAAAATGCTCGCATACGATTTCAGTATTCCAGGCAGACGATGTTCTACGATGAATAATTACCAGTGCAAGAATTCTTAGCGAAGTTATTTAAATGCAAACTTTGATCGAAATCGCAACATTCGATCGTTTCGCTTGGAACGGAAAGTCAATCGTTTCGTTCTTTCCCAAAAAATTGTCTTGAAAGGAAGCTCAGATATTTTTATAACTCTACTCATTTTATTGAGATACCAAAAACAGTGAGTGTTGCGTGATACAGTGCAGTATTGATTTTTATTTGTTGCTCTCCGTCACGAATGAGGCAAGGGTTGAGTTAATGAGCCTTGCATCGCGTTTTGGCAATTCAAGAGCAACGGATTCAGCATTCCCGTTAGCAGACCAACGGTCTGCAATGCATCAACTATTCGATGATGAAACAGGTTTCTGAACCAGGTCATCCACGAACACCACGAGAAAAAAGATTTTTTTTTTCATCCTCGGGGTACCAAGCACGGTGCAACGCATTTCATGATACTGCATTTTCTATCTCTAGCGATGCTGCATTCTTCGATTTATTATGTACCATTTTTGATTAAATAGGAAAGTGGTTCTGAATTTGTGCTCCGCGGAGCCCTATGAGCTCTAGACGCCGGCACTCCCAAGGGGCTCCTTTGGAAATTCAGGAAAAAAATGAATAATGAAGAAAAAATTAAAGTGAAATCACAATGATAAATCCAAAACAGAAAATCATTATATAATGTGAATATGGCCCTTTTTTTTAGCAGCCGTCAGAAAAATCGGGTTTGGTGTTTTTTCCACGTACCCGCATTCTTTATGCGTTGTAACCGAAACAAAAATGTTAGAATCCGCTTAAAAATTGAGCTACATTAGCGTATAGTGAAACAATCTACGCAAAAATTGTGAAAACCAGGAGTTTTGTAAAATTAGCCCCAACATACTCAGGAGTCACGAAAATTGCAATTTAAAAAATTTAGAAAAGGAAGAGAAAGTACTCATGCATATACTGTTTGGTGAAATTTATTTTAGTTTAAAAATTCTCATGTGCATACTGAGTATGTTGAGACTGCTGCACATCATTGGGGCTGAGTTATATGAATTACTTTGGAAAACTGTTCCGTGACCCGAAAGTTTGAGAAACACTAATTTAGAATATCACAGAAGATCGTGTTGAATTATCCATGTTCTCGTGTTGGTGAATCTTACGGCAATAAAAATTCGGGGAGCTGCCCGAAGAAGCAACACAAGTACACTAAAATACCGGTCATCAAACAATAAAATGTCGGGTCGGCAACCATTCCTGCTCCTTGAAATGGACTGCAACACGCGATTCAACGGTAAAAATTATTCTCCCTTATTTTAAGATGAACAATAATGACTTATCGATATGTTCGATAAGTCATTAATAAGTCATAGGCGAAATTGTTCGCCGCAGGTATTTTTTAATATTTCACGGCGCGATTTTGAAATGAAGTTTCTTCTCGCAAAAACCAATCGCAGAAGTGAAAGTTTTCCAGAGACAAGAGGACTTCAGAGGAAAATGAGGTACTTAGAGCAGGAAAATATTGCCATCATGTCACGTGCATGCTGGCATTTCTTTTATGATAATTTCAATAGCATTGAGTAATCCACTTTAAAGAATGGCATTGACGTGCGAGCCAATTTCCAAATCCGCCAATCGGAATACGAAGAAGGCTTTCCTTGCTTGAGTTTTCCCCGGATGAATATGAACTCTTGGTAGTCATGGTTCTGAAACTTAATTCCAAACTGAACTAAGAATGGAGTAGAGAATATCCAAGTGCTTTTGTTTTCCATTCAAGTTTGCTTTCACATAAGTTGCGCAACAGTTGTTTGATTTTCATCACGGCCACATTTCCTTTGCAAGCTTACATTGAGCAATCCTTTTGAAGGCTTCGATCCAAAAAATAATGTCAAGTTTTCATCGCACAGAAGATTTGCTCTTCGCTGGCGTTTAAATTTGAACTGAATTTTTTTTAAATTGAATCCTTCGAACATTTCAAATTTATAGATGCTGAACATCACTGAATTGATGAAAGAGGGGATCCCTGATTTTTTAATTTACTTGTAAGAAGTTGCGCAGACTTCCTTCTGTGGGGCGATGGATTGAGATTTCTTCGTTTGTGGATTTTTCAGCATAATTCTTCGAAACTTTCTCATATTTACAAACAGTTTCTTCGTGTTCAGGTGCCTGGCCCAGTTAAATCGCATAGTCAATCTAAGATGGCAATGGGAACACTCGCGTGCCACGTTTAATAAATAGGAATATTGAACCAAGAGTTGACAAAAATCGCAGAACATGAGCTTTCAAACCTGCTCAGAAAGTACAGTATTGTACTAAGCTGGCTGTCGATAATGTAAAATAAAGGCTTCGAAGAAAAAAAATGATGCATATAAATGCTCTGAAAGTTAGATGAGATGTGATTTACTTTCTGCTACTGTGATGCATAGATCTTCAACCAGAGCTTCACGCTTTTTCAGCTTTGAGATCTCAAAAATCATATTCATTCTCCGAACCATTATTCACTAAATTTAGTTTAATTTTCCACCTTAAAATAATAGTAATTCTATTCATAGTGCAAATCAATAATACACGAGTTTTTATGAATATTAATTGGGTAAGCTTCGCAATATAAAGGTAGAATCCATTCCCACGAAAAGTTGATTGTATCAAAACGAAAGTTTCAGAGAAATCACTATGAATGCCGTTTATTTTCGAACCAATGTTGAGTATATTTTTAAAAATTGAATATTCTTGATACTGGAGTACAGCCAAAGTCTCCCATTTTTTTTTCTCGAAACATATGAGCATTTAATGGTATATACAGCAGTCTAACTTTTACCTTGAAGATGTTTTTGCCTTTGAAAAATTCAACGAATTGCCTGCACATGCGAGTTATTTCCGATAAACAAAGTTATTTGAGCAACGATGGAAATTCTGGAAATGTTGGCATAATTTATGATGTACTGATATACAGCTGCTTCTCGCTTGATTTTTCAAGATTTTTTTAAAAATCGAATTTATTCAGTGCTTAATCTTCTGCGACCTCCCGAAAAAAATTGTCGAGTTAAAATATCCCTTGCGATCGTATTTTAAAAACAAAAGTTCACCTTTATTGGTCTACTCAGCATAAGCGAAAACACGGAAGAAATGGCAGAAACTCAACATCATTAGCCCATTTTGTAAAAGTGCTCACATAAAATCGAGGTACAGTGCAGTATTTTGAGCATCAAGTCTATTCATTTTCTACTAGAACTTCAAGAGAAATTTGTTGAACTAAAAAGGAATGACTCTATCCGCATCCTTCACCGTGGAATGTTACCCAAAATCTACTCACATACCCTCATCAAAACAAAAATAAAAAACGACAAAAATGCAGACTCGACATTCCACCCGCGCCGATGATATCACGCCGAAAAATAAATGAAGCAAGCAAAAAAATGAGTGGATCAAATTTTGAGAGGAAATGCGAAAATGCTCACCTGGAGAGCCAAAGTTTGGCAGAAAGTGAGGAAAAGCCGCAGTGGCAGCCGAGCCTTGTAAGTGCGGTGAGCCCAGAGCCGATGAGCACCAGCCGTCACGCCAAAGCCGCCCCAGAACAGCAGGACGAGGGCTATATTCATTCACAGCACAGGAGCACATCAGTGAGAAACAAGTAAAACGTGGAAACCGTCCAACGAGGCAAAAACTCGCTCGACCGTTAAAAAATCCATTCTTGCTATCATTCTTAGTAGGTTATCTATACACGAGGCTGTAGTAGAAATCTCACCAAGTCAATTATCGCGGAGAAGAGCAACTTTAAAACAGGATCCCATGCTTCATCGAGTTCGGACTGGAACAGCCGAATAATTTACCCCACATTTTTAACGTTACGTAATTCCAATCTGATACTTTCACCCGAAAAAATTCGAATTCGTTAACTTATCTGCAGATTTACTATTAAAAGTGACGGTTAAAAGACAAAATGAATCATTGCAGCGAGGATTTTATTTGTAAATGCGATGAATGTGCATCGAATCTCCATTACACAGGAAAATGAACAGGTGTCTGCTCAACGGATAACAAATTCAGAAATCCAGGGCAACAAAAAGTGTGCTCTACAAAATGTCCAGATAAGTTTGGAATCAATTTCGATTACCATTGAATAATAACGAGAACACAACAAGAATAATAATAACAAGATGGAGTCGAAAGCGTTTTGTAGATTGTTCAATTCCTTACCGAATGGTCATTATTTAGTCGTAGTACCAACGCCGGTTAAGTGAACTCTGGCTCAATTTTACCACGGACATCGGAGGTTCTAATTTATCGAATCACTGAAAAGAAAATCACGCGAAATCCAAGTCATTTTTAATAATCCCTCGTACTTTTTTCTTTAACTCAAGCCCAAGGCAACTGGAAACATTAAAACGAAAGCTTTTTATCGCCGAGATTTCGATCAAGGCACAACGAAAGGAACCAGTGAATGACAGGTAAATTTGCGACTGCCCCACTAACTGTCTAGTGACTATAGTCAGCCACCACAACTGAGCGCCATGGAAACCTGAGCACCAAGGGCGAAGAAGTACTGTACCACGTAAATGAGCATATACAAAATGCAATTTTGTAATATACTCGAGTACCAGACACCCTCTTGAAAGATGCCAACCTTCTATCTTCTTTATTGATAATTCACGAAAAAAACTATCCCTGTGCATGAAACTCGCCCCAGTTTTCAGTGGCCAGAATTGCAAATATCAGGAAACTATCAAATTAGAGAGTGAATTCAGTCTCAAATGAATTTCTTTGAATTAATTTTTATGGGATTTGCTGTGGTTCATAAGAAACTAGCCCTGAAAACGTTAGAATTGCATATCCAAATTTACTTTCTTTATCGAAACTTTGTACCCGGGTATGATGCGACCCAATTTATGCTTTTATGAAAAGCAGGTTCAAGATTTTCGAAAAAAAGTGTACACGGAAATTTAGTGAATAGAGCAGGATATTTTAATTTTCAGCTTATTTCAAGCTAAGTCTGTAAAAGTGTGTCATTCGACTCACAATTGTCTCTAGATTTTGGTTTTTTCGTGGCCAGAAGATAAATTTATTGTTTTACAAGGTATGTTTTTGCGTCTCCAAAAAGTTTCACAAATTATTTTCAATACCAGTCATACCAAGGATTGCTAGCATTGAAGTGCATCATAGAATGGTGGCATTTTGCTTTGATATTTCAAAAAGGAATCGTGGCACGAAGAGTTCGTCCAGCAGTGTGAGCAAAGTTGCCAGCTCATAGACCTGACGCTCATTGGGTCGGCGCTCAGTTGGGTGGCTCGCACTTGACCCCGCACCGGAATCTTGGCAGGTTCTCGAACCCCAGAACACTCACTAAAAAGCAGGGTTAGGCCCATGGCCCTGGCCACAGCCATGTACGCCCCCACGACGGCCAGGACGTGGAGAACGAAGAAAATGAGCACGTTACGCCATACGATTTCGACCTGGTATCGCGGGTCCTTCCGAAACTTGGCGTACTGCTCTTCCGGGATGTCGGGCATGACCTCATTTTCGAACAGCCGACCCGTTGGCACGATGTCCAGCTCTCCGATCTGCTTTCCTCCGAGCCCTGGGGCCATGGTGGCGGAAAGAAGGCGAACCAGCGAGTCTCGGGCGCCGAAAAGAAGACACCACCACGCGTCGTTTTTTCTTTCTTTCTTTACGGTACGTCACGAAGTTCTTTCCTTTGTCCGCGATTGCACTAAGATAGCCTAGGATACACACAAGAATATCCCCCCCCTTTTTTTTTTACAGGCAACTTGATTGCGGCAATGGCGAGAATCCGGGTGTAGGGAGTGCGCTGTGCCGTCTACACCGGGACGCCGTGGCCGAGGAGACTCGAAGTTCATGGCCTTCTTGGCCTATATTCCGGCGGAAATAGCGGCCAGGTCGTTGATACCGTTCCCCAACGGGACGGCAGCTGGGAGGGATAGGGAATCACTTGCTCCTCAGGGGCCCGTCATTCCTCGGGGGCCCGTTATCACTGCACCACCTGCGGTCCAGCCGCGTTTCGGTGGCGGACCACGACCAGCGGAAAGGAAAGAACAGCCCGGGATTCGCCGACGCGAGAAAGTCTCGGGATTGCTCTGAAAGCTTCAAAAAAAGTCGGATATTTTTCACCCCTCCTCACCCGCACCGCACGGCCGTGTAAAAAGACTGAAGAGCCAGTCCAACTCACGCCATTCAAACTGAGAAGACGATTTAGAGGAAGTAAGATGCGTCTGAGTGCACAATGCGGTCAACGGGCCGATTTGATGATTGCGTGTTCCAAGAGGGTTAAACAATTTCAGAAGTTATGCCTCTTGGAGAATGAAAAGTAGAAATTTGTTGGAGCAATTTAGCATCGCAGTCGCAACTGGAACCAAGCGGAATCCATGTATGAAAGCCAACATTGAAACACACCAAATTGTACTTGCAGATACTCAGAATCCTTTGAATCTCACGCACTCAACTTTTAGAGCAACAGCGAGACCCCGACATGCGGCCAATTCGACTCCGGGACACCAAACAAAAAATCTGAACCAACGTCCAGAAAATGGCTTGAGATTGCAATTTGCTGACATTTTTCAGGAAACTCAAATTTTTTTAAAACTTGGATATGTCCAACAAAGTGTGGTGCTCAAATTCACAAAAATTGAAGATGCTGTTCATTAAAAAATTTACTCTAATTCATAAAATCTGTGGAGTTTGGGTGTACCAAATTTGCCCTGGGCTCTGCCCCTCAGGGGCGCAATCCCCGAATCTGGAATGGAACGGGCAGCCAGCATTTCTCAAGCAGGCCATGAACTCCAATGACCCCACAAAGGTTTCCCACAGATTTTTTTTTCTTGTCGTGCTGAGGAGTTTCAACACGTTTGGAGAAAGGGTTGTATTTTATTTCAGTAGATAGTTTTAATCGTTGAGTGGGTGAGATTAAAAGGATTCTGAGCATCTGCATATGCAAATTTTGTGTGGTTAAAAATTGGCTTCCAGGCATGGAATCTGCTTGTTTCCAGTTGTGATTGTGAAGCTAAATTGCTCCAACAAATTTATGCTTTTCATTCTCCAAGAGGCGCAACTTCTGAAATTGTTAAACCTTCTTGGAACACACGATCATCAAATCAGACCATTGAATGCATGGTGCATTCAGACGCATAATAATTCCTCTGAATTTTCTTTTCATCTTGAATGGCATAAGTTGGACTGGCTCTTCCCTCTTTACACTGGTGAGGAGGGCTGAAAGATATCCCAATCTTTTGATATTTTCAGGGCAATCCCAACACTCTCTCAGACTTTCTCATGTTGGTGAATCTGAGGATTATCTTTCCTTCACACTGGTCCTGGTTTGGCACCAGGATGCAGCTGGACCACAGATGGCGCAGCGATGATGGGCCACTGGGGAATGAAGGGGGAATTATGAAGGAAGGCAGCTAAAAAAAAAAAAGGCTGTTGAACTTAGATGAGCAAGAGATTCAGTATCTGTCCCCACAGCTGTGGTCCCATTGGGAAATCCTATCAATGACCCAGAAACTATTCGCCAGGGAATATAAGCCAAGCAGGCCATCCCATCCGCCGCTGCATCCCACTGCCCTACAGGGGCACAATCCAGAATCTGTGATGTAAAATGACTAAAATATAGCCCAAGCAAAGCCCCACATTGAACACTGAATCACCATGTCCAAGCCTTTTTAAAAATTCAATGGAACAGTTTCCCTCATATACCACACAGCCTTTTTTTTCTACAAAAATCTGAGGTGAAACCCGAAAGGTTGAGGCAAGTGAAGGAATGGGCCCCTAAGGAATAAAGGTGGAAAAAGGAAGGGCAACTTAGGCTGTTGAACTTAGACAACCATGTGATACCGTACAAAATTAATGAAGTGCTCTCTCTAATGAGGTCTACTCAAATGCAAGAGATTACCAGATAAGAAATTCAGGATACACGCCATGCATACATGATACAGACAATGCAGAACCTTCTTATTGGTGAGAAATCATCACCACTATGCATGAGAACATGTAGTATCTTAGAGGCTTTACTCAACCAGTTAGACGTTAGAGTAGTATGCATGCAACATTACTCAACCTTTCAATATGCATGCAATGCGAACAAGTGCACTCTAAATGCAACATAAAGCACACCAGGGGCATGTATTTTAAAAGTCCAGAGTCAAAAGGAAACCCTTGCTGCAATTTTTGAAATGCGCCTGATCTGCATTTTATGAAATTTCTACATGTCCCCATGTCAGTTGTACTTCTATCTCAGTCTGATGCCTGCCTCATTCTTGCTGCCCTCGTGTGTGACTTGATCTCAACATTTTTCAACCCTCATGTGTTCTGCTTTATACATTGGGCCTTAGATGAGCGATCATTACCTGTGGCTGATGGGACCTCTGATGAGCCTGTGACACATTGGCAAAACATTCTCTGAACAGAGTGCTGACTGTTGTTTCTGCCTTGCTCCATCTCTGAGGCCAAAACCCTCTAAAATCAGTAGCTGAGCAAATTCTCCTTTTTTCAGCCTTAAATTTTGTCATTTATTCTGGCCCTGACAACATTGGCAATCAAATAAAAGGTACTGTTTAAGACAAATCACACAAAATTCACTGCTTGACACAGTTACCACGCAGAGGAGTGCTTTGAATAATTGTGCAATGCAATGCAAATGGGTTAGAATATGCAAAATAGCACCAAACATGGTTCAACTTGACGCCATCGGCATGCCTTAATAAATTCTTGCCGAAGGATCAAACGGTCTGGGTTTATATCATTTTTCGGCATTTTTTTTGTCGGTCCGATTCATTCAAATTTGTTTTAAATACGTCGGGCTTCAAGTAACTTGAGGTACTGCGCATGAAATGGAGAAATAATCTTGCCTGCTTTATTAATGATTAACACTTGAGATTGTTCTGAAATCATTGCAATAATAATATTGTGATTGGGTTGCGCATGCCCTGTAAATTATGAGTTCCAAGTCTTGTCGAAACCTGAATCTAACTGAAGCATTAAATGAGCTAATGCGAGCAGATAATCAAAATTTTGATGTTGCAAGCTATTTTAATTTAATAGAACATGAATATGATATGTCCCCACTCATTTTTTTTAACGCTGAATGACAAGAACGATGAAATGAGTCACGACTCACGAGTTTACCATGAGCGGAATGAGACAAAATCCTGTGTCATTTATAATCTTTTCAGAATACTGCAGATGAAAAGCATAACCAAAAGGGATTTTTTCAAGTCACAGGAATTTGTTCATTACAACGTTGAGAAATTAAAGGATATTATCACTCGACTTGGCTCTCTGAAGAATATTTCCAGAACGCGCGGAACTTTTTTCAGGACACCACCGGCACAGAAGATCTTTAGGTCGGCACTGAACAAAACCTGATGAGTGGAACACTTGCGCACAAGCAGTTCAGACATCAACGTCCTCATAAATGACCAAGCAAAGGCGCCACTTTCCATAAGAAAAAAAAAAATCCACGTCGAGAGACGCCGTTTCCCGTCGGACAGAGCCGAGCAAGTGAACACTTGGGCACCCAGCGCTACACTGACAGTCACTTGGTTGAGACCCGCCAAAGCGACTCGCAAGACCCGTCTTTTGAAGTCAAATAAATTTTTTTTTGGAATGCGTGCAGGACACCACGTGCGCGTAAGAACCACTGTCACTATAATATCTCATTATTACGTTAGTATTCATCTGTATTCACAAATTTGTTCTATAGAAATCGACTGCATCAACAATTAGAAAAGTCACAATCCCCCCACGCCTCAAAAACTCAGTTACGGTCTATATGCGAATCAATACCTTGGGGAATGCGGCAGTCTTCATTCGATATCCCATCTGATATTTATGGTGATGGATGGAAAGAGAAGCAAACAATTTCGTGACGCTTGAAAGAGCAAAAAAGAGCATTGCTTTCAGGTGCCATGCCGGTTTAATCATTTAGGAAATACACAAGCCCCCAAAAAAATCTTGGGGAATTGTTTTCATTGGGTAATTTTGTTTTTGAGAAAACATATTAGATAGGTAGAAAAAAATCGTTATACAGCGAAAATCGTTGTTGACAAGATCGTTGTACAGAGAGTCTACCTGTATTACTCACCCGAATCAACCATTTTAAAACTGCCCAGGCTTGGAAGAATAACAGTCAGAAACTTTTCAGATTCGAGATGTGAACAAATGTACTTCATAGGACAGAACTACCTGCACGAGGTTTGTATGATAAATTATGTTATGCCTTTGAAGATATTGATGTTGAGCAAAATTTCGTAAATTCAAGTTTCAAATCGACTGCATTGCAGACTTTGCCTTGGTCTCAGCTAATGAACGCTTTCTATTCTAATACATTTTAAATTTTCGATGCCCTTATGCACCAATCAAATCAAACTGCTGTTCATAAAAATTGAGAAAAAAATCATGCCGGCTTCAAGAAAGGTTTCGTATTGGGAATTTTCGAAGTCGTTACGACAACCATGATTTATTCGGGTTGCATGCTCCATGTCGCAAGACCCTGGCACCAAAGCGCAGGTCTTGTTGAAACCTGAAGCAAACTTGAGCATTAAATGAGCTAATGCGAGCTGATCATCAAAATGTTGATGTTGCAAGCTATGTTAAAAGATAATAGAACATGAATACAATATTTTCCCACTCATTTTTGAAAAAAAAAAAAATTGAATGAGAATGACGAAATAGGACAGGGAGTTTCCCATAACCACGTCGCGTGGAATTCTCTTATGTCGCCATT